AACCCCTGCTTTAGGCAGGCCAGGACTGCGGCCCATGTGGTCTCCCAGGCAGGGACAGGATTGGAAACATACCCTTGGTTTCTCTGTTCACATTCACTGTTCCCTGGCTAGAAAGATTAGGATAAAGATTACTGCTCATGACTGAGCATGTTTTTCCTTTTAGATCAGCCTTCTCAGAACAGGGATCTATTTTCTTTTACCATTTGTACCACCATGCAGGCTGCTTGGTGCTTGGCTTGTGCAGAGCTGGGGACTCTCTTCCAGCTGCTGGGGTGCCCTGAAGGGCTGGCTAAAGAAGGGTCTGCCGAGGGGAACTGCTTCTCCTGGGTGGGAATAACTAATAAGAGGCCCCATCTTGGTCCGAGGCCCAAGTCCAGTGCAGACTGACCATTAATAAAGCTGAGATTCTGGCCTGCCCTGGCTCTATTTGTCAACCGATCAGAGCCTAGAAAGTGGGAGTCGATATCCCCCCAAGCTCGATGAATACTGACCTGGTAGGATGGCTGTGTGGGTTAAATAAATCACCCTGAACAATTCCTTCAATAAACACTGGCCGTTATTTAAACATATGGACAAACTGAGTGACTTGAGAGGTCATCTGGGTCGACCATCTGATTGCAAACCCTGCCTTCCAAGAAGTTGGTCTCTGGAGTCCCCGGTGTTCTGAGTGTAAATAGTTACCATCTTTTATTTTCTCAAAGCTGTTTTCATTTCAGGGTATGCAATTTATTATTTTATACATAATAAATGGATAACATTTGTATGAGCTAGGCATTCTCCAGATGACAAAACTAAAGCACAGAGAGGGTGCTTAACTTCCCCCAGGCGGCTAGGCTGGAAAAGGGCAGGATTTATAATCAGACCTAGATGAGTGCGCTCCAGTGTGGATGCTCTTAATTATTCAGGAGGCTGAAGTCCTGGCCTCTCCTTTCACTCTGCCCCACCACATATCCCAGGGCCTAGCAGGGGCCACCCACACCCTCTCCATGGGCACTGAAAGACTCTGCTGTCTGGATGACAGGACAAAGGAAAGAGGAAGGAATTTTTATTCTTTAAGCCAATATCCCCTGGCCTCCAGCAGTCCCTGTGAATCCCTCCCTGGAAGATAGAATTGACTAGAAACTTAGCTTCCAGACACTACGTGTAGAATATTTCTTGCTATAAACTGGTTATCAGCACTTTCAGCCAGTCAGAGATTAAGTATTTACTGGATTTCTCCGCTGCAACCTCCCTCAAGAAAGCCTGCTCTGTAGTCCAATCCCGAGCACGGCCCATCTGGGGGTAGCGAAGCAGCTGATGGAGGGGAAAACATAGAAAATGAAGATGAATAGGCTCATCTGCTCCCTCCTGAACACGCAAGGAAGGGTGGGTGCCAGGAGCCACCTTGTGGGGTCCTCAAGGTTGGGTTATCGCCCGTAATAGAGTGCAACGTGTGCAACACACATGTGTCCATGTGTTGACAGTGGAGGTTGGCTTGTGCCCACGCGTGCACATGCCTGTAACCCATGGGGCATCTGCATACACACCTATGCCCGTGCACAGGAGGCACGTAGGCTGGGTTATGAGGACTTGAGGACGTGAGCTCTTCAGCTGTCCTTGCTGCCACTCGATCTTTGCACTTCTTGTTGCTTTTGGGGGAGCTGGAGATGGGCTGAGGGTCTGTCTGGGCTAGAATCTTAATTGGAGATGTGCAGAGGGATTCAGTTCTAGAAATCTCCCCCCCCCCTGCTTATTAAATCTGTTTTTAGCTCTGCTTGCTTGTGGAATTACAAGACTTAAAGAGAAACCTTGAAGAGGATGCTCTTGCCAGTGTTCTGAAGCATGCAGCAGCTCCACCTGGCCCTGGCCACCTCTGACCACTCACCCCCAGTGAGGCCGGCCATGTACTGACCCACGCATGGGCGCCTGCTCTGGCCCCTGCCTTCTCACATGTCATTCCCCACACCCGAACACTTACCTCAATCCTGGCCTCCGGTCTACATGCTGATCATCCTGACATGAGGACCTATGTTTAAGGTGTCCACGCTCACGGAGTTTTGTCTGACCCCAGCAGCTCTCTTGATCTTTTCCTTCTTGAATTTATTGGCTCCCTACTGTTTAGAGTTCTGAATATGTTGTCTTACAGTATTGGCTTTCTTGCTTGACTTAAGTAAGTTCTGTCTACTGAGAATGAGGGAAGAGAGATGCTTTAGAGACTAGCTCATGAGACCATGTGAACATTACAGTGGAGAAGCCAGAAGCATCACCTCAGTCCCATCATTAGGGTCAGCAGGCGGGGTCACCTTGGTAGTGTGTGTCCTTGATGTGACAAGGGCAGCTCTTTGGCTCTGTGGTCTTCCTCCCCCAAACACCTAACAGTCCAGTCATGAGGAAAGTATCAGGCAAATCCAAATTGAGGGATATTACACAAAATACCTGACTTGTGACCCCAAACTGTCAAGGTCATCCAGAACAAGGAAGGTGTGAGAAATAGTCACAGCCAAGAAGAGTCTCAGGAGACACGTGACTTACCATAATATGGGCTCCTGGATGGGATCCGAGGCCATTAGGTGAAAGCCAATACAATCTGAATCAAGTAGGGACTTTGGTTAATAATAATGTATCAATGTTGGTTCATTAGTTATGACTAATGTACTGTAAAACTTAATAATAGAGGAAACTGGATGTAGGGTAAATGGGAACATCTTTCTGACATTTCTTTAAAACTGTTCCAAAGTAAAACAAAAAAGTTTATTTTTTAAAAAGCACAGTAAAAGGCTATGGAAGAAGAAAACAATTGTTAGCATGGACTTAATAGAAGTTGCACCAAAAGAGATATCTGTGGTACAGAAAGAAAGAAGATAACATCCATCTAACCGCACAGAGCATCCTAAGTGTGAGCTTCTGTCCTGGGCACGTTAAGACACCTTGTCATACTGAGCCCTCAAACACCCTCTGAAACAGACATCAAGAGGTTCTTTTATCCTTTTCTTTTCTTTTCTTTTCTTTTTTTTAATAAAAGAATAATAGACTCAAAGACTCGGTGACTTGGTCAAATCCAGAGTGTCAAGTGAAGACCAGGCTTCTAGTTCATGGCTGGGTGGTCCTAAAACCAGGCCTTCCCCACCCCTGCAAGACACAGCTTTGAATCTTCACAGCCGTCTTCCTCAACAGCAGAAACCATGGCATGGATGTTCCCCACTCGTCTCATTATTATTCTTCCACATTATTGGACACTTAATCTGTGCCAAGTTAATATTGCTGATTAAAGTAGATGAAATACATTACAAAAACTAGTATATTGCAGGCCCACAGGGGAATAAAAGGCTTTTGTTTTCTATTTATGTATTTTAAAAAAACAATGGAAATGAGCTAGGGAGGCTTCTTCTCCTGTGGAGGAACTTGGTCTTGGATCAGCTTCCTGTCTACCGTGAATATTTATGTTCCTCCAAATTCGCATGTTGCAACCCAATCCTAATGCAAAGGTATTAAAAGGCAGGGCTCTTGGAGGGTGCTGAGTAGTACCTGAGTGACCCAGTTGGCTCCTGTACCTTGAGAGGTAGCATCCAAAACACTGTCTGTGAGAAATGAGTCCTCAACAGACACAGATCTGCTGATTCCCTGGTCTTGGATTTCCTAGTCTCCAGAACCGGGAGAAAAGCATTCCTGTTGTTTGTAAGTTACCTTCCTTGTGATATTTTGTAATAGCAGCTCAAACAGACTAAAACACTGTTCAGACTCTGTAGTTGAGAATTCAGGTCAACCCCATCTTGTTTTCAAAATGTCTTATAAATATATACCAGGCCTCCCCGACTGCACTCTAGACTTCCTGAGAGTAGTACACGCTGAACTACACCCAACCTGTCCCTTCTACAGGTTGGGTGTAGCTCAGCATGTACAACAGGGCTCATTTTCTGCATTATCCTGCTGGTGAGACCTTGGAGCTGACGATGGGTCAGGGATTACATGGACAACATTTAACAGGCACCAGCCAAGCAGAATGAACACTGGTCTTTGAAGATGAACTGCTCTGCTGCTGGTTGGGTGCCAGGCCTAGGTTATCTGAGGTTATCTGAGCACTCAAGAGCTGTCATGGTCCAGTTAGGCTGCTAGAAAGAACCACAGGGACCAGGTGGCTTATCAACAACTGTATTTCTCCCGTTGTGGAGGCTGGGGAGTGCAAGACCAAGGCCCAGCAGACTCCATGTCTGGTGTGGGCTCACTTTTCCAAAGAAGGTGCCTTCTCACACAGCAGGAAGGGCCACCGAGGTCTCTCAGCCCTTTCTTCATAAAGGTTCCTGCCCTGTTCATGAAGTCCCCACTCTCTTGGCCTAACTACCTTCTGGAGGTCCCACATCCCCATCACCATCATGTTGAGGGCTTGGATGTCACATACAAATTTAGGGGGAAGAGGGAAAACCCATACATTGAGGTCACAGCAGAAACCATGACCACCAGGAGGGCCCCTGAATCTGAAAACTCCTCACCTTGCCCTTTACCTTCGAGTGACAGCAGGCCTGGCAAGGCAAGGGTGACATAGAGCCAGGGCAGACTGTGAAGTCAGACAAACATAGTCTTGAGTTCCTGCTATGACATGCTTGATGCCTATCTTTGTGTCACAAGGCTAAGTTGCTGTCATGGGTGACCCAGCGGGTTGATTGATTAAGGCCCAGTTTCCTTACTAGAGGACGGCTGGGGGTGAATGAGTGAAATGGTGACCCAGCATGCCTGAGAGCCACAGTGGTACACACTCTTTCACATCAAGCGTGGCTCCATTTCCTTGCCTGAGAAACTGGGCAATCACGTCTGAAAGGAAGTGAGGAGAACTAATCAGAAGTCACTTTGTTATTTGCCTACTCTGCAGAATGTGAGGGAAAACTCTGCCACACAGTAGGCGCTAGGTGCTGCTGATGGTGTGGTGTGTGCAGCTCCTTCAGGACCTGGGGACCTTGTGTCTGCGTTCAGAGGGTGCAAGCCTCTGCTCTCCCTGGAGCTAAGTCTGCTCTGTCCCTGCTTTCTAGCTGTACAGAGTTAAGAAGAGGATGATCTGAAGGATGACGGTGGCCTCTGAGCAGAGAAGGGCAATTACCGGAAGTAAAGATGCCGAATCTTACAGTCTCAGAAGCCATGTACCTGTGGTCTTTTCACTTCTCAATCTCCTCTACAATGACAGTGACTACAAGAGCTGAGAGAGACACCTTGGGCCAGTCCATGTAACAGAAGGTGACACTGAGGACCAGGAGAAGAGCATCCGCTCTGGGTCAAACAGCTAGTGCCAACCAGAGCCCTGACCCTGACTCCCAGCCTGGCTGCTCTCCACTGACCCTGCCTCTTTCCTCTTCCTGGCATTAGACACTGGAGAAATGGATTGTAACCAGATGTCAAATGGGGTTCTCCTGTTGCCCCGGAATTGTGGCCAGGGTCCAAGGCTGAGTGCAAGCAGTGGGACGTTCCTGCCTGTAAGTACTGAGAAGACCTGAAGTCGGGCTGCCGGATGCTGCAGGGCCTGCTGTGGGGGCTGCAGTACTTCCCGTGCTGCTCCTGCCTACACCCCTTCATGGACATAGGGGAGGAGAGGGGAAGGGGAGGAGCATGGCTTCCTTCTGCTCAGAGCCAAGGGAGGGCAACTCGGAGAGAATCATGCATGAAGACAGGGTCCCTGCAAGGAGGCCGATGGGCGTTTCGTGTCCAGTTAGTATCTGCTTATCCTGAAGCCTGTCTGATTGGTGCTTGCCTGGCCCAACAGGAAGATATGGGATGGCAGAGAAATGGTGGAGAGCCTGCACTCCCCCCATCTGCAAAAGATGAAGATCCTCTGAGTCCCCCAGCCTAGAAAGGGGAGGTCAGGGTGGGGAGACCTGTGTCAGGAGCTATGAGGGCAGGAGAGAGGATGAGCCAGAAGTGGAAGCCCCATCCAGGGTAGGAAGAGTGGGGGGGGGGCCCATAGCACTGCATAGGCCCTTCCTCCACACCCAAGCCAGCACTGTGATGCCACCACACAGAAGAACCAGGGGCAATAATCAGAGAAGATGACCAGGGGTGAAGAATCAGAACATAGTGAGGTATGGTACTGGGGCAGGAGGCTAAGGAAGGGGGTGTCTCTACTGAGGATACCCCTCATTCCTGACTATTCCTGGGACTATGGTGCTGAGAAGGAGAAGAGGGAGTGTCAGAAGCCAAACTATGTACCCAGTGCTACATGGGTTGCCAGATAAAATACAGGATGCCCAGTTCAAGTTTAGTTTCAGATTAACAATGAATACTTGTCAGGATAATTATATCCCAAATACTGCCTGGGACGTACTTATCCTAAAAAAAATACATTTGGATATTTTTATTCCATATTCAATATCATTGAATATGAAATTGAAAATAACATTTGTACTTGCTAAATCTGCTAACCCAACCTTCTCTGTCCCCAATACTAATTCATGCATGTGTCCACATCACATATACACCCTGCTCCCCCAGGCTGCTGTAGCCCTTTGATCTGAGTTTGAGACTGAATCTTAACAACTAAGGAACTGTTCTAATAAACCAAAGAGGCTGGCAAGTTAAGAAATTGGGCCATGATGTCATTAAAAACTCTGCGGCCCAGTGAGAAAGTTGAGGTTTCAGGAAAAGACAGGTGGGGGTATGTATTAGAAAGCTAGAACTGTTTGCTGGTTTTGCCCCTGAGCATTGACCAACTACGCTGTCCTCCAGTCTGAAGTTACTCTTCCCAGTTCTTCTGGCTTGCTTATAAGGTGTCACTGTCTTTTCTGTCAGGGGCCTTATCTCTCTGTGGATCCTGACCGTTATGGTTTGGATATGAGGTCTCCCCACAAAGCTCACGTGTGAGACAATGCAAGAAGGTTCAGAGGGGAAGTCATTGGGTTGTGAGAGTCTTGACCCAATCAGCAAATTAATCCCCTGATGGGATTAACTGAGTGGGAGCTGAAGGCAAGTGGGGTGTGGCTGGAGGAGGTGGGGCATTGGAGGTGTGGCTTTGGGGTATATATCTGTATCTGGCAAGTGGAGATCTCTTTCTGCTGCCTGATGATCATGTGAGCTGCTTCTTTTGGTCACACTCTTCTGCCACGATGTCCTGCCTCACCTTGAGCCCCGAGGAATGGAGCCAGCCTCTGATGGTCTGAAACCTCTGAAACCGTGAGCCCCTAAATAAACCTTTCTTCCTCTACAGTTGTTCTGGTCGGTCCTTTTAGTCACAGCAACCATAAAGCCAACTAAAACACTAACCAAGTGGCTGAGACAATGTAGCTGTCCCCTTGTGGGACTGAAGCCTTCTACTGGTTTCTGCATTCCCTTGCATCACTGAGATGACATGCATTTCCCTTAAAGCAGGGGCTGGAGCTGCAGGAAAGGGTCAGGTGGAAGCCAAAGGCACCCTAGGCCAATGACCATCTCACTCTTGATTAACCTTATTCAAGGCTTAAATGGTCCAAATGTGAAGCTCTCAGGTGCGTCCTCCAGACTCTGGGCCTCCTCTCTCCCTCTGCCTAACTCCTGGGTCATCTCTCCCTTTGGCCCTGCACTCTTCTTCCTACACCTCTACCACCATGTAGCCCACCATGAGCACTCACCCACCAGGCTGGCTCCGTCCTCCGGGTGTTTGTCCTCCGTGAGCAGGCTGTTCCAGGATCTGGGTTACTGGGCTCTCTGCTGGATCTTCTGTCTGGTTTCCCGTCCTCTTACCCCAACACACAAGTGCATATTTGTATCTCCACCCGGCCCCATTGATGTCCTGCCAAGGAGACCTTTGGATGCACAGGGCTGAGCCTTGATGCCGTCACCTCCCTGCCATTCCTTTCCTTTCGCTTCCTTTCACTGGACATTTGTCCATAGTCAGAGGGATATTTCATGCTGGGGGATTGATTGGCAGAGGCCAGGCCCCTGGCAGGCAGCAGAGCAGAGCCAAACAGGAAGCTGAGGGCAGAATGACAGCTGGGTCCAGAGGAGCTGGGCTGGGAGCTGCAGCTGGTGAGGGTCCCCTGCTGGAGTAGGCAAGGAGCTTCCCTAGGCAGGGGAGGCCCTGAAAAGAGTGGGGGAAGTTGGTGGGGGTGCCCAGAGGGAGGAAGACCTGGAGACCGAGGGGAGGAGCAGAAGCACAGGTAGGAGGCTGGGAAAGAGGGATGTGTGTGTGGAGAAGAGGGAAGAGAGGAGAGAAGGGGAGAGAGGGTTGGGGGGAGTGGAGGGTGGGGGACAGAGAAAATCCCAGCAGAAAGAGCGGCACTGTCAGAGGCAGAGGCAATTTAGCCAGGCAGGGTATCTTGGAGGAAGAGCTTGCTGGAAATGGCCCCAGACTGTGTGTTGAGAGCACGTGGCGCCATCCCATCAAATCTGCACACATCACTGACTTCCTCATTCAGAGCCATTGCAGGGGGCAGCATGCTGGCCTCCCCAGCTCTGCGTGCCCAGACCCAGCCAGACGGTACCATGTGGGCTGCCCGACGTTCCCCCGCGAGGAAGTGCAAAGGCGCAGGCAGCTCTTCCCTGCTCCTACCCACTGGCTGACTTTTCAAGGCAGGGCCTGGAGCTGTGGGAGAATGTCCCAGAGGTGTCCCCTCTTACCCAGAGTGGGTTACTGCGGGCGCTGCCAGGTCAGCCTAGGGCAGCCTGGAGCCTCAAAGGCAGCAAGGGGGGAGGCAGGGCCATGGGAGGGTACAAAGGGCAGGAAGGAAGCTTTGGGGACATCATGAGGGAGTCACTCTGTGTTGGGGTGGCTAGGTTGTTGGAGATGGTCAGCAGGATGAATTCTGTGGTGCTGACGGCCCACCTGCCGACTGCATCCTCTTCCATGGCTGCTACTGAGCCCACAGAGTGCCAGGCTTAGGGAAATCTCCCAGTTTAGCCAGCTCCAGGGTGATTCTGCTCCCACCATTGGGACTTCTGGGGTGAAGAGGCTCAGAGAGTGAGTCCAGTTCCTCCCTCCCCAGTGGGTCCATTCCCTCCCTTCCCAGTGGGTCCCTTCCTGCTGTCCCCAGTGGGTTCTTCTCTTACTCTACAGTGAGCCTGTGTCCTCCATCCTCACTGAGTCCATTTCTTCATCCTCGGTGGCTCCATTCTTCCATCCCCATAGTTAAGTGTCCCAGAGTGCTCGGGCACAAAATATGTTTGGAGTCTGTCCCTTCCCTTGCCTCACCACGAGGGAGGTCTGCTCTGGCACCATTAGCCTGTGATGATAGTACCCTGGTTATGGTCATGGTGGTGGTAGTGGTGGAAATTAGCTGACATTTCTTGAGGATATGTAATGTGTTGACTGCTTTGTGTGTGTATAAAAGCCCAGATAGTTCTTCTACTCCTATGACGTTGTCTACGACATTGCTCTTGTTCCATGGTTAGTTACAAATACCCCATACCTTCACACACACATTGTATATATAAGGAGACTGAGGCATGGAAGTGTTGAGGAACTAGGCCGGGGTCACCCACCAGAAAGGAGGGGTGTCCTGGTAAAGCAAGTGTAGCACCCACACATGGAAAGCGGCAATGACCGGGGTCCCCTTCACTTTGTGTTGTCATGCACGTCTCTCCAACCTGTCTGCCCTGAACAGCCAGACAATGGGGACACAAGGACATGAACCCTAGTGCCATTCTGCTGGCCCTGCAGCACATCCTCTCACCCTAACTCGAATTCAGGCTGTTTTCTTGCCTCGGAGAAAAAGAACCTCGACACAATTGAGGATTTTAGCTGGATGCGTAGGATGAAAAAGAAGAAAGAAGTGCCTGGTGGAGAGCCCAGGTCGATGAACACCATGGGTGACAGAGCAGAGCGGAGCCAAATCCCAGGGTCCCAGGGACACGCCTTCCTCTTTTGTGCACGCTGCTGGATGGCTAGGTAATAGCTCCTCCACTCCCTTCCGAGCAGAAGCTGGACTGTGTTCAGGTACCCACCTGTGTGATTCAGCCTTTGTCACTGTGACCAAAATACCTGACAAGAACAGTTTAGAGGAGCAAAGTTTTATTTTGGCTTTGTGATTTCAGAGGTCTCAGTCCACGGTTGGCAGGCTCCACCACTTTGGGCGTGGGGAGAGGCAGAGCATCATGGTGGGAGTATGTGGTAGAGAAAGCTGCCGAGCTCATGGTAGGCAGGAAGCAGGAGGGATCCAGGGACAAGATGTATTCCCTAAGGAAATTCCCCAGTGACCCACTTCCTCCAATCCTGCTTTACTTCCTACATTGGCCTTTGCCTCCCACTACTCCACTCAGGCATCAGTAGATTAATCCATCCACAAGCCAAAGCCCATGTGTTCCAATAATTTCTCAGAAGCCCCATCTCTGAGTATTGCTTCTTTGGAGACCAAGCCTTCAACATATGAGCTTTTGGGGGACATTTTAGACCCAAACCATAAGACCAACCTTCTCTCTTCAGTTGTATAATTCATGGACAAGTAGTCCCCACCCCATCCCTGGTGTAGATGATGGGTTTTGTTGAGGCACAACTTGTATGTGTTTGTGTGTGTGTGTGTGTATGTATGTGTGTGTGTGTGTGGGGGGGGCATCCCCAGCTCATGAGAGGTGTCACAGTTGGAGAGAGTCTGAGGAAGGTTTACTGATTTTTAAAAAATGGCAAGAATGAGCAGGTTCTATTTTTTGCCTCTGTAAGTGACAATTGGAGACCTGGTGTCTTATGGCCCTGATGGGTGGCCCTGGAGAAGGTATCCTGGACACTGTACAGCATTAAAAATAAACCAAATGTAACCTGGTTCTTATGAGGTTATGAAGCCTGTGGAGACACCCAGCTCTGGGTTTCTCGTCATCTGAGATTGTAAAATTTGTGGTTGTTTGAATGGGCTGAGGTGTGTGGTTGTGTTTCATTTTTGCAATGGTGGCCTCCTTGCAGGTCGATAGTTTTTGAATGGTGCTCACCAAATGCTGGGGGTGGCGGGGGATCATCAGAGCTCTGAGTGCTGTCTGGGAGGAAGTTGGGTGAGATGAGGAGCTCAGAGCCACCCACCAGGGCCCTTCTGTGCAGTGTGGGCCAGCCGCACCTCTTCCACACACCAGAGTTCAAGGGGTCCCCCTGCTCAATCAAACAGCTGGAGCACGTCGTGGTGGACCATCCTGCCTCCTCTTGGGAAGCCTGAGAACAAGAACATCTGGCTTTCTGAATGTAGGTGCCTGGTGAGAACACCTTTCCCTTGAGGAGATGCCAGACCAGCTGCCTGCACTCTAGGACCACAGAGAGCAGTCCCTGCGGATGAGGCTTTCCGGCTCACTTCCCTTTTCTCCATGGCTGGACTCCTCCCAAACCCACCCAGTTTTGCCTTCTCCCTGCTTCTACTTTCAAGCCTTGGCCCACAGACCTCCTGGGAAGTGTGGCGTGAACCTTGATAGCACCATTGCGAGTACCGTGAGCAACTGTCTTAAAAGATCTCCTGGACACTGTGGGCAAGATGACTTGGCAGCCATGGGGAAGGAGTCCAGGACACATCCCCGTAGGAGAACTAAGGTCCAAGAGGATTGTTTGGGTCTCATTCTGCAGTGGAACATGGCTTTCTTAGGACATGTACCATGTTGAAACGAAAATTTAAAAAAAGAGCTGAAATTGAACTCAGGTTTTTTTTTTTTTTTAACATAACTCTCAGATACTCAGATGAGAAAGCAAAGGACGAAGGGGAAGAGCTTTCTCCCAGCTCCATAGCTGGACACCAATGCCCTGGCCACATCTGAGCTCATTCCCTTCCTGGCCCCTCTTCTCCTCATGTTTGTTCTCATCTGTGAAATGGACATCCGGATGCGTCCTCCGCAGGCTTGTTGGGAAGACTGACTGAGAGGCATTCCTGGTCTAGACCCCCCTGCAGTACCCCCTGATGAATGGCTGTTTAGCTTCGCTTCCCTGGAGCAGCTTTCCAGGGTCGGAAGCTCAGACCCTAGGAGCAAGCGCTAGCTGTTGGCTTTCTGCCTGGGTGGCCGTGGGTTTCTCCTCTAGCTGGACCACAACACTCGAGAGCAGGGTCTGAGCCACAGATCCCCATCTCCACAGCTGTGTTCCTGGACCAGAGAGCACTGAGAGTCACAACTTAATGAAAACTCTCAAAAGTAATTCCACAGCAAAAGGAGGAAAACATAATCAGTATTGAAGGTATTTTTTTTTTCTATTTAAAGAGGATGCTTAGTATCAGGAAAACAAGCTTGGGACTTGGAAGGCAAATTTTACCATCCTACACCAACTGAACCCG